TCAGTTAACAAATGGGCAGACACCTGAAAGACATTTCTCAAAAGAGCGAATTCAAATGCCTAACAGACGCATGAATACATGTTAGGGATCCTTGCCATCAGGGAAATGCAAATCAAAACCACCAGGAGGTTTCACCTCACTGCCACTAGAATGGTTGTCATACAGAAATCAACGAACAATAAATGCTGGGGAGGATGTGGGGAAAAGGGAACTCTCATCCACTATTTTTGGGAATGTAAACAGGTACAGTCACTGTGGAAGACAGCATGGAGATGCCTCAGAAAGCTGAATATAGACCTACCATATGACCCAGTAATCCCACTCCTGAGAATGTACCTAAAGGAAATGAAATCAGCGTATGAAAGAGATATCTGTACCCCCATGTGTACTGCAGCTCAATTTACAATAGCTAGGATATGGAATCAACCCAGATGTCCATCAACTGAAGAGTAGCTAAAGAAATTATGGTACATATACACTATTGAATACTATACAGCAGTAAAAAAAATTCCTGTCATATGTGACAATGCAACTGGAAACCATTATACTTAGTGAAATAACCCAGTCCCCAAAAGACAAATACCATATGTTCTTTCTGATCTGTGGTAACTAATACAGTACATAAAAGGTAATCTATAGGAGTGAAATGGACACTTTGTGATGCAATGATTCTAAACAGCTCTTGACTGTTGAGAAGCAATACTTTTTGTTTGTTTTTTTACATTTTTTGATACTATTTGTTGATCCCTCTACTTAGTGTAGGGTTATTCTTATGAGTATAAAATTAACTGAAAATAGATCATTGTAAAAAATATGAATGGGAATAGCAGAGAGAGGAGAAAGAAGGGTGGGAGTATGGGCAAGAGGGAGGTAGGGTGGGAAGAATCACTATGTTCCTAAATTTGTATATATGAAATGCATGACGTTTATATTCCTTAAATAAAATTTTAAAAAAAAGAACAGTCAAGTTCAAGAATGGCTCCTGTTTAATTTTCAAAGCAACTCACAGGTGTAGGTCATAAATTTAAATAACTGAAACTATCACCTTAGGGAGTTCTCAAATGAATACCTTGGCCCGGAAGGGTCTCCTGGAAAGGATTTCATGGCAGTGACTGACATAATATTTCTTTGTTGGCTGGTTGAGTTTTCCACCCCTAAGACTGAAACAGAGCCCTGAACAATGCCTTGAAGGCAGACACCCGAATCCCATAAGGCTGTTTCCCAGCCTCCCTCCCCGTTTAAAGTGTCCTTGCCTTGCCTTTGGATAGCAGTAAAATTAACTCATTGAAGTGAGGGAGTAGGACAGCCAGGCCCTACCAGATTCTAATCAGCATACTCAAGAAGTCTTGGGCTTCTCCCATAGATAACACACTCTTGGCCAGCTCTGTCTTGAGGGGTTTTGTTTAGGGGACTTCCAGGTCCAAGCAAGGGAATCCAGCCCAGGAGCAACCCCCACCTTCCTGTAGCCCCCATACTGACTGAAGCCTATGTGGCCATCATAAAAATTCCCTCAAGAGCATGGCATTTTCAATCAATCAAAGGCAGCCCTCGCACCACTGACCAACCAGGAACTTGCACAGGAGACGAGTACGCACCTCTCAGCTTCATCTTCAGTCTGTAAGAACCTTCAGCCCTCACTCCTCGGGGAGCCAGGGAATTCAGTGACAGCTGTCCTGTTCCTCCCTCTGTATTTTGCAAATAAAAACCTACGTCCTTCCACCAACCCGAGGACAGTGGTTGGCTTTCTGTGCACTGAGCAAGTGGACCCAGGTTTGGGGGTTCCATCGTGACTCCTCCATCTAATCTGCGGGTCTACTTTGTAACAGCATTCTACTGCTCCACATTTCAAAATTAATTAAAAATGAGGTCAGGTAAAAATCACTGACTTTTGGAAGCCAAAGAGGGTAAAATGAGGGGCCAATCTTGCTCACTGATACTTTATGCTATGTCAGACACTTAGAGTTAGAGGAAGCACCAGAAGTCATTTAATTCAATTTTCTCATGGTGCCCCTTATGACATGGCGTCTCTAGGGGTGTATGGGGCCCAAAGTTATACAGCTAACTGCAACATCATGCATAAAACCAGGCCATCCGATCCTGCACTCAGTTTTCACTATACTTTCTTGTACAAGATACTACCTGGCAGAGCCAGTGTGAGACACCTGCACGGGCAAAAGCCAAGTGCTAGGGGGTGGTGGCAGGTTTGAGAGGCAGGGAATAAGGCATACAGAGGAGGAATGCAATGCATCATGGGATTGGGGTGCAGTCTATGAGGACAGCTAAGGATGAGAATCACTAATTCCAATGGTTACTATGATGACAGCACACATTCACGCACCCACATCCATGCCCCACTAGTGTGCAACCAAAGACTCTTTGAAAGTCACCTGTCTTCCCTAGAATAGTGCTCTGAGGCACAGGCCTTGATGTACCCACGACACTAAAACCAGCGGAAAACAGAAACTCTTTGTCAACAACATGTACCAAGGTTACTGAAGACTACTAATTCCAAAATTTACTAAGAAAACTGTGAATTCCACTTCCCTCATGAGCAAATGAAACTTTGACAAGAAAATTCTGAGGCGCTAAAAGAGTTCACTGGAATTTGTTTTGTTTTCTCTTCTACCCACCCCAACCCCATACACTCCACTTGGAAAGGATTTTAAAATGACCTTGTCTGCTATGTGCCCTCTTAAAGCTTTGATTTCAGAATTTCATCAAAACCCCACTTAATAACCAGGGACTCACACACAAGCAATCTAAAGCAATGGCAAACAAACAAACAAGCAAATTAAAAAAACCCAAATGACAACAAAACTCCACCAGACTATAAAACAAAAACTATCTTGATTGTAATAACTATGTTTCTCATTTAAATAGAACCTGAAACCGAAATACTTTTCTGTAAGACACTTGCATCTTAGAATAAAACACCTTTAAAAAAAAATCGTAAGTACATCCTAACAGGGACCTAACTAGGAAAACAATCCTTAGGAGGACACTGTGGAACTGTAGGGCCCAAATCTAGCAGGGCCTAAAATTATCCCTTGACAGTGATAGAAATTTTACAAGAGACATTTGAAGTGGACCCAAGGCTCTGCTCTGCATGGGGACCTGAAAGGAGGATGTGGACTGCTCAGTGAACAGGTGTACAGAGCAGCAGAACTAAGGGGGTGAGAGACTTGTCTGAGGTTGCCAGTGCACTTGACCTTGATGGTGGGACTGGCAACAGAAGTTAGGTGTGTTGATTCTAGGAGCCGTGTGCTTTCTACCAGCACCAATGTGATCAAAGGTCTGAAATGGAAATAGATTAAATAGCAGCACAATCTCTCATGGCCTGTTTACTATGAGCAACTGCGAAGTTTTGAATTTAACAAGCTCATTTTCATATGACTATTTAACCCTGAGGCATCCCTGGACACATATGCCTATTTTACTACAAATGTTTAGAAACACCTGAAATTGTTAAGACTTCAAGTGGTAATTTTTCCTTGGGATAGTAATACTCTTCCCCATGACACAGTTGCATCTTGTGCAACTGGAAAAAAAATAGGTCATAAACATCTGAAAAGCTTTTTCTGACTGAATTATTAAGAAGCCAAAAATCTGGCCGGCGCCACGGCTCAATAGGCTAATCCTCCACCTAGCGGCGCCAGCACACCAGGTTCTAGTCCCGGTCGGGCGCCGGATTCTTTCCCGGTTGCCCCTCTTCCAGGCCAGCTCTCTGTTGTGGTCCGGGAAGGCAGTGGAGGATGGCCCAAGTGCTTGGGCCCTGCACCCCATGGGAGACCAGGAAAAGCACCTGGCTCCTGCCTTTGGATCAGTGCGGTGCGCCGGCCGCCGTGCGCCAGCCGTGGTGGTCATTGGAGGGTGAACCAACGGCTAAAGGAAGACCTTTCTCTCTGTCTCTCTCTCGCTATCCACTCTGCCTGTCCAAAAAAAAGGAAGCCAAAAATCTAAGAACATGGCTATGCAAAAATACATTACATATATATTAAATATTCCACAGTTAAATATGTGCACACACATACACACAAAAAAGCTGAAGTTGGAATTCATCTAAAATTTGAAGATCATTCTACCTCTTTCTCATCCTGTAGCTGAATGAGATGGTTCAAAAAGTTTGTGGAACATGGGTTTGAAAGGGAGGTTTATTTGGGTGTAAACACGTTTTTAAAATTTATGCACAGTATATCTTTTTTTTTTTTTGCACAGTATATCTTTTCCATGAACTTTTTGAAGACTCCTTGCATCCTCTACTGTCCAAAACTCTTTGAACCTTTTTTTGTGACACAGTCTAAAGACCAGGTGGAATCTTCAGGAAGCAGCAAAGCCACACAAATCCCAGCAAGCTACACAGCACACGGGGTCCTGGAAGCTCATAAGGACAGCATTGTCTTGTCAGTCACCTGACATTGACCTTCTCAGGAAAGGTGACCTTCAGCCCAAGTGCAGGAAAGGCTTAACTCATCTCAAAATCCCAACCTAGTAACCGATACAAACCAATATATCAGCTCATTTCGAACGAGAAGCACCAAGACCAACGGCTTAAACTTTCATACTTCAAGATTTAAAGCCAGAAAGAAAACTGTCATCCCAATGACATTCTCACATAAATAAGAATAACTGCTGGATGGAATTCCTGGTGGCGGACCCTCAGCCTGAAGAATCGGACACCATCCTCACCAGCCCTAGGCGAAGGCAGCTGCTCTCAATGTGATCCTGCCTGACGATACCAACAGAAAGGCTGTTTCTACAATGAAACAAATCATTGTGCTCCGCTGTTTTATTCCACAGGAGATAATGAGCAGCGCTCCACAGAAGCTACGAGGAAGGCAAGTTCACGGCAAATACAAACAGAACCTCTTTCCCTAAAAAAAGAAATTAATTGGATGATCACCTAGAGCTCATGCTAATACCCCTTCATCACCCTGGCTCGGGTACCCACAGTGATTCACAAGACAAGCCACTGCAGATGCTGCTCTGAACTGAGAACTTACAACATTCACTGCACGCCGTTCCCAGCTAGCCTCGGCCTATGCTTCACCACGCAGACATCCCACAGAAGCTGGAGGGCTCCTGGGCTTTCTTCCTTTCGCAGAGAGATGGCAAATATCTAGCATGGGAACAGAAGAAAAAGAAACAAGTTAATGCATCGTTAAATCACTCATCATCTCAACAGATGAAGTCTCATGATCAATTAGACTAATTGATAATTCACCAAAGACCATTTTCCTGAGCCCTTCTCTCAAAAAAGGAAAATTCACTATTTTTGCACTTGCCATAGAGGACACAGTGTGGCACAACCAGCCTTCTTCTCCACCTCTCTCATCAAATGGAAACCAATTCTGGGAGACCTCAGACGCAATCCTGGCTGAGACCCAAACTCGCAACACAACTTCAAAATCAGCCACTTGATTTTACTCTCTGCAAACAGGGAGCAAGGACTAACACCTTCTGCATTTTCATGCCTCATTTGGTTGCTGGGAAGATCAATAAGATCGCGCCTGCAAAGCACTCAGAGGTCCCTAAAAGAAAGGCACTATGTAAACACAAAGTATTATTAGTGGTCATAAGCCCAGTACTGAGCTCTGAGCCAGGATATAAAAGCCAGCTTTGGCAAGGCACCAACACTCAGCTGTCCCCAGAGCACCCAAATGTACACCTGCCAGCGTGGCTTCCTATGCTAGCCGCTAGCGTGCAGTGCGTAGAAGTAAAACACCAATAGCGAAGGCTGGAACCTGCAGGAGAAAGGCAAGGTACAGAGCCTGATGCAAAAGAAGCGACATTGCAAGGTGGGCATGAGAGGCACGTGCAGCAGCATGGTGAGTTGGCACACACCACGCAGCTCCTACAGGATCTGTGGGGCTGTGAGAGTTTTCCACTTGGCTGTGCGCCATTCCACCCACCAAGGCTAACACTTACACAGAAGTGAGCCGTGAGGCCCTATTAGGAAAGAACTGGATATGAGTTGGCTATTCGTTTGCTGGTTTTAATGAAAACACCTATCCAATATCCTAATCATTAATATTTCCCACAGCTGATTTTTTTGATCTTTTCCTACCCTCATCCTGTTCAAGTCAGACCAGGAAACAGCTCTCTCCTGGACCAATATTAGCTAATGATTCAGACTTGTATACTCTTTGTTTTTTTTTTTAAAGATTTATTTATTTATTTGAAAGTCAGTGTTACACAGAGAAGGAGAGAGGGAGGGAGGGAGGAGGTGAGAGAGAGAGAGAGAGAGAGAGAGAGAGAGAGAGAGAGAGAAAGTCTTCCATCTACCGGTTCACTTCCCAGTTAGCTGCAACGGCTGGAGCTACGCCAATCCGAAGCCAGGAGCCAGGAGCTTCTTCCAGGTCTCCCACACAGGTGCAGGGGCCCGGACTTGGGCCATCTCGTACTGTTTCCCAGGCCATAGCAGAGAGCTGGATCGGAAGAGGAGCAGCCGGGACTAGAACCAGCGCCCATATGGGATGCTGGCACTTGCAGGCAGCAGCTTTACCCACTACGCCACAGCGCCTCAGACTTGTATACTCCTAAGAAGCCTACCTGAGGTACAGGAATTTACATGGGTGGCATTGGAGATGATGAAGCACACGGAATTTACGTGCTTTGCTAGGATCCCGTGTGCTTCCCACATAAATCATCCACAAGTACCAGCCGTGTTTGTCATCTCCACATCAGGAACATGTATTGAACAGTAGCAGGCATCACAGGTGAGCACTGTGGGTGTAAGAAATAATATTCCCAAGAGGATAAAAGTGGTCCCTTATCTCAAAAAAAAAAGTGGGCAAGAATGAATAATACCAAATCTTAGATTTGGAACTGGCAAAACACTGATGAGCATACCTCAAAATACAGACCTTTAAGGAACGGAGAGACAAAATTAGGGCAGAAGTGAGAAAGGAGGTGTCTGCTTCTCATATAATTAATCCTCACTTTTATAGTGAATACAGTTTACCAAGTTCTTCCTGATTAATTAACTCATTCACTCAACACAATTTTCCTTGGTGCCACTACACCAAGTAGGCCATGTCCAATTGGGGGTACAAAGGATGAAGAAAACAGACAAGAATTCTGGTCTCAAGGTGTCCCTTATCTCAAAAGGACCAGGCAATGAAGAACTATAATAAATGATTTTTAGTATACACATGCATGCACACACGCACACACACACACAATTTTTTAATGGGGATAGGTATTATAAAGGAAAAGCATTGAAATTTGCAATCTCAAAGGAGGTAGCTCCATTGGAAGCAGGAGCTGAGGAAAGCTTTTCTTTTTTAAAAGATTTATTTATTTATTTGAAAGGCAGAGTTACAGAGAGGCAGAGGCAGAGGCAGAGAGGTCTTCCATTCACTGGTTCACTCTCCAAATGGCTGTGGTGGCCAGAGCTGTGCTGATCCAAAGGCAGGAGCCAGGAGCTTCTTCCAGGTCTCCAATATGGGTGCAGAGGCCTAAGGACTTGTGTCATCTTCTATTGCTTTCCCAGGCCATAGTAGAGAGCTGGATCAGAAGTGGAGCAGCCAGGATTCGAACTGGTGCCCAAATGGGATGCCGGAACTGCAGGTGGCGGCTTTGCCCGCTATGCCACAGCGCCAGCCTGGAACACTTTTCTTACAAAACTTAACAGTAAGAAGGAAGTAAAAGATCAGCAGAAGTCAGCCGGGCATTGAATTTCAAGATATAAGAAACAACCTCAGCATATGTTTGTCTGATCCAGAGATGTATAGCTAATTTCTATACTCACTTTTTATTTTCCATTTCAACTGGGTCTCCTTGATTAAGAAATGAACAACAGCACTGTTCTCAATACCTTGAAAGAAGAGATAAGCCTTCCTTCTGACTTTAAAATTGACCACATTTGGGTCTCAGTGCTCCCCCACCCACCCACACGTGCACACACACAAGTCATGTCTATCAAACACCACCACCCTTTGCAAGTGTTAAGGAGGGGAAGACTTTGCTCCCAAATACACCCAAAGTCACCCCGCCACCACCACGCAATGCAAAGAAACTCCCGACACCTGCATGCCACAGCTGCAGTTAAGAAAACCCATCCAAGAAAGGGCTAAAAACAGATCACATTACATGTACACTTGTCAGAAAAACATCTTCCTGGTGCCTTGGCTGAGATTCCAAATTCCTGGCTTCCCGTTGACTCAGGATATTTTCTATTTCTCTCTCCCAGACCTAATCAGTATCCAGGCCCACCTGTAACAGAATCCTGCCCTCCTTCTCTCTCGGTTTCTGATGGAGTGCTCTGTCCACTTACCCCAGTGAGCAGCATGAGGCAAAGGAGTAAAACGAAAAAAAGCAGCATGTCTATCTGAAGTGTTTTCTTCATCCCTACCAAGCCAGATCTGGCTCAACTTAATTCTCCCCACTAAGGAAGTTCAGTAATTTGCACACTTCATCCTACAAAAGGAAGGCATCATAGACAGGCTCATTCATGTTCTCCCATGAATGGAATAAGTCTGAAAGTTGATCTGAGGAGCTCAGTGTTGTGGTGAAGTGGGCTATGTCTCCTCCTGTGGCACCGGCACCCCATATGGGCACCAGTTCATGTCCCGGCTTCTCCTCTTCCGATCCAGCTCTCTCTTATGGCCTGGGAAGGCAGTGTAAAATGGCTCAATTGTTTGGACCCCTGCACCCATGTGGGAGACCTGGAAGAAGCTCCTGGCTCCTGGCTTTGGATCAGCCTAATTCTGGCCATTGCGGTCATTTAGGGGAGTGAACCAGTGGATGGAAGACCTCTCTTCTCTCTAACTCTGCCTCTCACAAATAAATAAAATCTTAAAAAAAGAAATTCGATCTGAAACAAATAGTCCAGGCTGCTCTTTGAGTCTCTTTTCATGTAAGATGTCCGGGATAAAAAGCCGTTTCTCCTACAGATATTTTAACAATACTCCAAGTTCAAAGTCTTTGAACAGCAGCCATGACTTTGACGTAGTAGTTCTGACAAAGCTTGGCAAGTTCAGGAAGAAGAGAGCAAGGAAAAGGACTTCCTGCAGCCAGGCCGTCCAACACCTTGCCATTAAACCTGGAGAATTACATCAGGTTGTCAGTTTCATCCTCTGTCCTGAGGAAAAAAATGACATAATGTCACTTTCCCTTTCCCTCTCTACCCACACTACCTTCAGTAACAATCACACGTTTCAACCCAAGGTCCTTCTCAATTCAGCATTCTGGTACACGACTGTCTTTTTTATACTTCACTGGATTTATTTCAGTCTTGAAGGCTCAAACTGTTTATAAGCTCCTTGATGAAAGAAATCTTGAGATGTCCTTCTTTTGCAACCTCCTTAGAGGGTGTAGTGGAAGAATCTGAATTTAAATTAAATGATCCATATCCCAAATCTATTCCAGGACTTAACCCTTGCTCCCTAGGAGTCACTACTCTAGAGCTGTAATTTAAGCCCATCTCGCCTTTCTCTGTGCTCCCAGGGCCTGGAGCCCCTCCAACACCTGCCAGCCAAAGGAGAGCTCTCCACAGACTCAGCAACAGTGAAATTACACCTCAGCCTTCTCTTTTCTGCTCTTCCAGGCCCTGACATTTTTAGTCATTAGTGCCTTTCGAGCAGCCGCCATCTCCTTTCAAGATGCACGAAATCCCCGCCTCCTTGTCACCAGGAGCCTATGTCTTCAATCCTCAGGGCTTTTCAACAGCCACACTTAAGGAAGCCCTTGTAGGGCATGGAGGGGGACACGGGACCTCTGAGGCAGTGGTTCTCACACTTGACCCAGCAGGAGAAATGGCTGGAGGCCTTGTAAGACCACAGATTGCTGGGCCACACCCAGGATTTCTGCTTCAGGCAGGCCAAAGACCATGCATTTTCAACAAGTTTCCAGGTGATGTTGATGCTGCGGGGCCAGGACCCAGGAGGAGACACTGTTTTTAGGGTAAGTCTTCCCATCACTCACACAGTTGGACAAAGGCCAAGATTGCTCTGAAAACAGCCTTCCCTCCATATCCCCAGGCAATGGTCCCAGGAACTCCCTGCTGATTCCAAGACATGAGCATGCTCAGGTTCCCTCCACAAAGCGATTTAGCACCTGCACATAATCCACACAACCCTCCTGCATACCTTGTCATCTCTAGATGATCAGTGATCC